ACTATACTTACTATAGATGACACATACACATCATTCATCTACTCTTGGTCCGGCCCCGGGTCCAATATATGAACCCATTGCGGCCCTCAAGTCAAAAAGTTTGCCCACCCCTGGCCTAGACCCTAAGCAGCCGCACATTTGTCTTCAATATACAAAAATACATATGTACTGAAAGCGTGTGCCCTGCGCGCTCCCAGCCCACATGTCCGGTACTGACGGAAAGGTCCCAATTTCCTCTTTTGATCGGGGACCTTTCCCGCGTCACATGACACTAAGCCCTGCCCCCCAGCGTAAAAAAACCCCTCTTCACGCCGGGACGATCCGGCGTGAAGGGGTTAAACTTTTTTTTTTCCCTCTATGCCAGGAGTTAGAGAGATACAATATATGTCTCACCTCCATTCATAGAAAAAAAAAAACAAGGGATCCGAGCTGTACAGTGACTGATCACCGTGATAGCCAATTAGAGGCTATCACAGCGATCATGTGACCCGGAATCGGGAGTCCCGGGTCCCGAACGTTAGAATGGGACCCGGGGCTTTCAGTGACACCGCGGTCTTTGTACTGGGAGACGTGCTGTGCAGCGCGCACAAAGACAGGTACGCAAATATGCGGCCCCACGGAAAGAATCCCAGTTCTGCGCGGCCCGCATATTTGTGTGACATCGGCGTCAAGGAGTTACCATTTCCTCTATCAGCTCATCCCCCCCCACAGTTATTACCTTTTGTATCACTCAACCCTTCCTCCTAGATTGTAAGCTCTCAGGAGCCGGGCCCTCTGCTTCCTCTTCTACCAAATTGTATTGTAACTGTAATGTCTGCCTTCATTTTGTACAGCGCTGCGCAAACTGTTGGCGCTATATAAATCCTGTATTATAATAATAATAAACTGTTTTAAATTGTCATACAAAGAGTTCAGAGACAGGATTACTGCAAGGCAGAGATCTGAGGAGGGCTACAAAAAACATTCTGTTGAACTGAAGGTTCTCAAGAGCACAGTGGCCTCCATAAATCTCAAATGGAAGAAGTCTGGCACAACCAGGAGCTGGTCACCCGGCCAAACTGAGCAATCGGGGGAGAAGGGCCTTCATAAGAGAGGTAACTAAGAACCTGATGGTCACTGTGACTGAACTCCAGAGATCCTGTGTGGAGGTGGGACAAAGTTCCAGAAGGACAATCATCACTGCAGACCTCCATCAATTTAGCAAAAACCATCGGGTTCTTGGTCACCTCTCTTAAGGCCCTTCTCCCCTCGGTTGCTCAGTATGAAAGGGTTATAACCCGGCAGATTTTTTTTTTTTTGCCATCTGTGTCTCATTGCGGTGATTTTACTTCACTTTCTACCCCATAACCACAACAGGAAGCGAGAGGAAATCCCTGCAAATTAAGACAATTCTTTGGGGCCCCCCAGGTCACCAGAACCAGTGTCCCCATTGGAAGATTTCCCCTCTATTACTTTTCTGGGGAAAACCCAAAATGTGTGACTTTTACTTTCACTTTAATCTATAAACGGGTAAAAATGAGGGGGGGTGTATCTCCCTAACGGGGGCACAGACAGCAATAAAAACCAGACAGGGGTTTTAATCCCTCTCCACTCTATCCAAAAAAAAAAAACAAAAATGTTGCCTTTAGTTATACTTTAAGTGCTACCACTTGTTATCAAATGCCATAATGTACAGGGCCAAAGGATCCCCAGATAAAAAGACATAAAAAGATCTCTAAGGTGTAATAGGCTGCTTTGAAGACGTCACCTATCTAATAGGCCCGCATGTCTTCAACTCTTGTACTGCTTCTTTTAATATTTAAATTTTGCCGAAAGAACAGGGAGATAAAAAAGTTGAAAACTAAGGCACAGCACATATATACAGCGGGTGAAATAAGTATCGAACATGTCACCATTATTCCAGGTAAATATATATCTAAAGGTGCTATTGACATGAAATGTTCACGTCAGTACCAACCCATGCAGTCCATACATGCAAAGAAACCAAAACAAGTTCAGAAATTAAGTTATGTGTAATAAAATGCAATGACACGGGGAAAAAGTATTGAACACATGAAGGAAGGTGCAAAAAGGCATGGAAAGCCAAGTCACCAGCTGAAATCTATCAATAATTAGAAAGCAATCCTGCCCCCTTGTCAGTGCAAATTAATATCTGCTGGTTCAGTCTCAACTGATGGCCTATAAAAAAAAGGTGTCTCATTACCAAGGTGTCACACAAGAAACATTGCATGATGTGTAAAAGCAAAGAGCACTCGCAAGACCTTTGCAACCTTACTGCTGCATTGGTAACAGAAGGAGTTCTAAACTTCTGAATGTTCCAGCGAGCACTGTTGGGGCCTGATGGCACTGGTTACAGAAGGATTTCTAATCTTCTGAATGTTCCAGCGAACACTGTTGGGGCCTGATGACACTGGTTACAGAAGGATTTCTAATCTTCTGAATGTTCCAGCGAACACTGTTGGGGCCTGATGACACTGGTTACAGCAGGATTTCTAAACTTCTGAATGTTCCAGTGAGCACTGTTGGGGCCTGATGACACTGGTTACAGCAGGATTTCTAAACTTCTGAATGTTCCAGTGAGCACTGTTGAGGCCTGATGGCACTGGTTACAGAAGGATTTCTAAACTTCTGAATGTTCCAGCGAGCACTGTTGGGGCCTGATGGCACTGGTTACAGAAGGATTTCTAAACTTCTGAATGTTCCAGTGAGCACTGTTGGGGCCTGATGGCACTGGTTACAGAAGGATTTCTAAACTTCTGAATGTTCCAGTGAGCACTGTTGGGGCCTGATGACACTGGTTACAGCAGGATTTCTAAACTTCTGAATGTTCCAGCGAGCACTGTTGGGGCCATAATCCGGAAGTGGAAAGAACATCATTTAACCATAAACCGGGCACAACCTGGTGCTCCTCACAAGATTTCTGACACAGTGAAAAGAATTATCAGAAGAGTTGTCCATGAGTGAAGGACCACTTATGGAAAGCTTGAAGCTCGTTTAAAGTTTGCTGCACAACATTTAGACAAGCCTGTGAAATACTGTGAGAATATAGTCTGGTCAGATGAGACCAAAATTGAACTCTTTGGATTCCATAATACACACCATGTTTGAAGGTCAAATGGCACTGCACATCACCCCAAAAACACATACCAACTGTGAAGCATGGTGGTGGGAAGATCATGGTGGTGTGTGGCTGGTTTTCAGCATATTGTACTGGCAAACGTCATGTCGATGAATGGAAAAATGGACCAAGGCATGCTAGATAATTATCTGCGGCCATCTACCAGGATAATGAAGACAAAACAAGGGTGGACATTTCAGCAAGACAATGATCCCAAACACAAAGCCGAGGAAACTCTCAGTTGGTTTCCAAAAAGAAAATAAAGCTGCTAGAATGGCCCAGCCAATCACCTGACTTGAATCCAATAGAAAATCTATGGAAAGAACTAGAGATCAGTCCATAGAAGAGGCCCACGGAACCATCAAGATTTGAAGACGGTTTGTGTGGAAGAATGGGCCAAAATCACACCTGAGCAATGCATGCCACTAGGTTATCCATACAGGAGGCGTCTTGAAGCCGTCATTGCCAACAAAGAATTTTGTATGAAGTAATAAATAAATTTCAGTTAGCGTGTTCAATACTTTTTCCCTGTGTCATTCCATTTTATTACACATAACTTAACCACTTCCATACCGGGCAATTTTACACCTTCCTGCCCTGGCCATTTTTCAGGTTTCAGCGCTCTCACACTTTGAATGACAATTGCGCGGTCATACAACATTGTACCCAAACTAAAATTTTATCATTTTCTTCACACAACTAGAGCTTTCTTTTGGTGGTATTTAATCATCGCTGGGGTTTTTATTTTTTGCTAAATTAACAAAAAAAGACCAAACATTTTGAAAACAAAAACACATTTTTCTTTGTTTCTGTTATAAAAGTTTACAAATAAATAATTATTCTTCATAAATGTAGGCCGAGATGTATTCTGCTACATGTCTTTGGTGAATATACCCCAAATTAGGATGTATTTTTTAGTTTGTAGGAAAGTTATACCACCACCAGTGCAGTACAGCATCATCATATAACTGGCATGGCGGTGAACAGGGACACTGACTGGTGACAGTATGAAAAAAAAAAAATATATATATATTTTTTATTATTTTTAATTTTTTATTACATTTTCTTTTTTTTTTTTTAATATTTTTTTTTCATATTTTACTATGACCAAAGTAGTACAATGTTACCATAGTAACATTGTACTACTTTGGGGAAGTGATCAGTATTTTTTTGTTTTAAACAATTTGCTTATAGCAAAGAATGACTTTGCTATAAGCAAGCATTTACCTGAATGACATCGATTCATTCAGGTTTTTTTTGTTTTTTGTGCTTAGCTGTGATTTGGCCACAGCTAATCACATGACATGTGCATGTGACCTGCTGTGACCATTCACAGCTAGGCAGTAGTATACAATGGATGGCATGAATGAAGCCATCCATTGTATACAAACTGTCATGTGACCTGCTGTGATTGGTAACAGCAGGTCACATGGTACCGGCAACGGGGGTCGGTACTCAGATCTGTCATCGGCCGTGTCCGAGGTACACGGCCGGTGATAGATCGCGCCGCTGCGTGGCTCTGCAACCGCGCGAACTGCGCATGTGCGGGAGGACGCCAAATGGCGTACACCCCGGAAAGCTAATGCATTTTTGCAGCCGCCAAACAGCTATAGGCCCCGGGCGGCTAATGGTTAATTTCTGAACTTATTTATTTTGGTTTCTTTGTATGTATGGATTGCATGGGTTGTTGCCAACGTGTGGTGAAAATTCCATGTCAATAGCACCTTTAGAAATGTATTTACTGAGAAAAATGGTGACGTGTTCAATACTTATTTTACCCGCTGTAAGACATCAATAGTAACAACTGAGCCTATAATTTTCATACAGGAGAAGAAAGAAAGATTTCTCTAAAAGCATCCACCAGGAGGCACTGAATTCTCACCAGATCGATGAGTTTGGTGACCGGGATCTCCCGGATGGGCCTCTTCATTCGGCACAAGGCCTCCAGAGATGTGCCGAACGAGCTGACCAGGTAGCTCCCGGTGATGGTCAGGAAGTAATCTTTGCCGCGGTCCAGGTGAAGTACCAGGATGTCCTCGATGCTGTCCTGACTCGAGTTCAGCAGCGTGACGGAGTCTTTGCTGACGTAGACTTCCAGACTGATCTCCACCGACTCATCTGAGGCCAGGAAATGATTGTGAAATGAAAGCAAGGAATGCCAGATACTCATAAATAGTAACAATTTATATATACATTCATGAAATGCAAACAGAACAACGCTAGTGGTGCACCGAAATGAAAATTCTGGTGCCAAAACCAAAAAACGAAAAATCAAAATGCACTTGGCTGAAAACCGAAATGCGCAATTTTTAAAAATGAATATATATTTTTTGAAAAAAAAATACACTGATTAAAAAACAAACAAAAAAAAAAAACAATGTATACCCCAATTGTTTTGTAAAATATGAAAGAGGATGTTACGGCGAGTAAATAGATACCCGACATGTCACGCTTTTAAAACTGTGCACGCTCGTGGAATGGCGTGAAACTGCGATACTTGAAAATCTCCATGGGTGATGCTTTAATAATTTCTACAGGTTAGCAGTATGACGTTACAGAGGAGGTCTAGTGTGAAAATTATTGCTCTTGCTACGACGTTCGTGGCGATACCTCACATGTGTGGTTTGAACACTGTTTACATATGTGGGCGTGGCCAAAGTATGAGTTCACCACTATGTGTGAGCACGGGGGGGGGGGGGGGGGGGGGCACTTTAAACTTTTTTTTTTTTCTTTCTTTAAAAAATTTTAATCATTTTTTATTATTGTCACAAGAAATGCATGCATAGATAGAAATAATTAGTGACAGGTCCTCTTTATGGAGAGATATGGGGTCAATAGGACCCTACAACTCTCCTCTGCAATGTAAATCATTGGATCAAAAAAAAGCATTGATCATGTACAGCGCTGAGCGAACTATTGGCGCTTTATAAATACTGTATTATTATCTAGTGCCTTAAAAAAAAAATATGGCCGGAACGGGAAGTGACCGCTCTGGTCCTCCAAGGGCATAGAGATGAGTGGCAGCCATCTTTCCTTCACTCATCTCTATGCCCAGCGCCAGGATCGATGGTTTCTCATGTAAGTCTCAGAACTACCGAGCAGTAGCGGTGTTTTTGCGGCACCTGTATCGGTGCATTTTTCCATTTCGGTGCACCCCTAATTATGACTCAAGGAGCAAACAGGTGGGAAGCCTCACTTTTGTCATTCACTGCAGAGCTCAGTCTCAGTCCCGCAAAGACTGGGATCGAGCTCTGCAGTCACTTTGCAGCAATTGTTTTCTTATTCCGGGTCACAATCCTGCGCAATGTCCTTTTGTCTCTTTCAGTCAGTTGACCAAGTGGACCGCGCTCATGCTTATCAGACGTTTTCCCGGAAACTCTATATGCCGCCATAACCTTTGATACTGGACCTCGCGACACGGCAAATAAATTGGCAACTTCAATCACAGAGGCACCAGCTAAGCGGCACCAACTTTCCCTTTTGAAGCTCAGTAAGCTCTGACATGACTCCGTATTAATAGCAGCACACGTAGTGAATCATGAAAGTGAGGATTTCCACCTGTTAACTAGGTGTCTCATCATGCAGCGGAAGTAAAAGAACACAAAGCATGTTGTCACTTTCACAACTACAAATCATGTAGCAATTTTTTATTTATTTTTTTGTCCAACCTTTGTATTTTCGTTGAACACGGAGTTCCACTCACTCACACTCTCAAAAAATAAAAGTCAGCAGCTACAAAAACTGTAGCTGCTGACTTTTAAAAAACAGCCATTTACCTGTCCCTCGGTCCCGTGGTGTGTCCCCCGCAGCCCTTTTCCTCGGCCGTCCTGGATTCCAGGAAGCCGGCATCTTCAGTGTGGGCACCCGGCTGTGAAGCCACAAGCTGTCACAGCCAGGTGCCCACACTGAAGATGCCGGGTGCCCACTGCGCATGCACGAGTAGCGCTGCGCTTCATGAATGGCCCTGTACTCTTCTGGGACCTGTCACGTGTCCCAAAAGACTACAGGGAGGGAGGACACCTTCCGCTTCCAATCGCCTAGGCCAGGGGTAGGCAACCTGAGAGCCGCAGGACCACAAGCTCCATCATGCCTCTGCAAGTCATAGCTGTAACTGTCAGTTTTGTAATCTTTGCAATGCCTCATGGGAAATGTAGTTACACAAGAGCTAGAGAGCCACAGTTTGCCTACCCCTGGCCTAGGCGATCAGACCAGATGTGGTAGCGGGGTACCTGTCAAATTCAGGTACTTGCTCCCCCCCCCGCCCCCCAAAGGTGCCAATCCTTAATGGGGAGCGGGGGAGCAGTCCTTAAAGCAGAACTTCCCCTTTTGGGTGGAGCTCCGCTTTAAGGTGGTGTCACATGCCCTGTAGTAGCTGCCACATGCAATTCCCCCTGGTTGGGGGGGGGGGGGAGATTGTAGGGGTCATCCATGCACCGGGGTGCCTGTGTGATAAGAGGGCCTTGTGTCTCATCAAATCTTCTTCCCCTGCCGCTTCACTGGGGCCTGATCTCCGCTGTTGAGGAGGTTGGGCACCTGCGGAGTGGCAGGGGAAAAAGACTGGATGAGACCGGCAGTGCCCAAGGCACATTCCCATCCCCCCCCAGTTGCAACCCTGTTAGCTGCCATGCATGCCACCCCTGAAGTTTTACTATAGTCTACCACCTAGAATTCCATCAGCTCCACTGTGGAGAATCATAATGTCCAAACAATACAAATGACTCACTTGGCTCCAGATAACCTTCGCAGGGCTCGGCTCTCAGCCATGGTTTACAGTACTGAGTGTCGTTCAGTTTGGGGATAAAGGAGAAGTGACAAGGAACCTGCCCGTCATTCTGGATGTGAAATTTTTCGATCTGAAGTTGCCGGAACCTCACCCACTCAAATGTGAACTGTGGAAGGAACCATAGAAATTATCATTTCACTGCAAATACCATAAAGAATAGAGCCGCAGTTCTGTTCAATCACACTGTTCAACAGGTAAAAAGTTTTGGGCATAAAATTAGCTAATCTTACATAATTTTGGGGTGCTGAAAACGAAAATGACCCTAAAAAATGTTGATTGGCTCTAGTTTCCATGATATATTCACCCATCTAATGACGTAAGCCATTCAAAATTATGATGCAACTTCAGCTGCATATTGCGCAATTGATACTGGTGACCAATAGAAAATTGCATGTATACTGAGATGATGCAATATTGCCTTTAATTGCATCACTTCACTGCATAAAAGCTGCAGTATCTGTAGCTGATTGTAGTTGGACAGCGTCTTTACATTTCGTTTTCTGCTTATATAGGCTACTCAGTAATGCCTCGAACTTGTGTGAATAAAAGCAGATAATTTCTGCTATATCTGCGGTGAAATAACTTTTATCTCACAAAAAAGGAGGATAACAGGAATGATTAAGAAAGCCTACAACTTGTATTTTGGCTGCAATATAAGAGACCAGGACAAGAGCTGGGCACCACATATATGCTGCAATTCTTGTGGGATGGCACTGGAGCAATGGTTGAACGGAAAAAAAGGCATCTATGCCTTTCGCTGTGCCAATGATTTGGAGAGAGCCAACAGATCATGTTAGTAATTGTTACTTTTGTATGGTGCCTCCAATTGTAAAAGGGCTAAATAAGAAGAAAAAGTTATCTGTGCACTATCCAAATATTCCATCGGCAATACGTCCAGTTCCTCATGGAGAGGGGCTACCAATTCCTAAAGCACCAGAATCCTTCGTGGTTGAGTCAAGTGAGGAAGAACCTGAAGCGTGTAGTCACGTGCAGTTGTAAGAGATAGCCCTTTCCTCGAATACAAGAGAAAAGCCAAGAGAAGCAAAACCGACACAAACTGAAGACAAAACTAGTGAGAATCCTAAGTATTAAAATGATTCAACTTAGCTTATGGCTATAATTTTTCTTGGTAATCCTATGCAATATATTATGCCATTTAGGCTTTGTTATGTAGTCAATATCACTTGCTTTATATTTGTGGAAAGACATCTATCTATATAATTATTGTGCATTATGTAGTCATTACGCCTATAGTAGAAAACTTTCCGTTTACAGAAAAACTAGAGCCAATTGACAAATTTCATTGTTATATTTGAACTCAGAATGTGAAATTCATTAAGAAATGGATCCTTTTGTTTCCAAAACTGGCAAAAAATAAAAATTTGTTGAACAGTGTAATCAGGTAGTTGTATTAACCACTTCAATACCGGGCACTTTCACCCCCTTCCTGCCCAGGCCAATTTTCTGCTTTCAGCGCTGTCGCACTGATAATTGGTATTTAATCACCACAGAATTTTTCAATTTTTTTACTAAATAAAACCCTGAAACCTTTGAAAAAGAAAACGCACTTTTCTTCCTTTCTGTTATAAAATTTTGCAAATAAATAACATTTCTTCATAAATTTAGGTCAAAATGTATTCTGATACATTTCTTTGGTGAAAATAATAAAAATAATAATTTAATCTGTATTTTTTTTTTTTTACATTTTTCTATTTTTTTTATTACATTATTTTTAATTTTTTTTTACTATTTTTGTTTTCAGCACACTCTGACCAAAGCAGTACAATGTTACCATAATAAAAAGCTTTCCGTGATTGGCTTCTCACAACTCTGCAAATTCTGTATCACAGACCTGAAGGTCCAGAAAGTATAATAGCTGCGCTCCTGGTGTTCAGTAAAACGGTCAATTGTAAATAAAGCCTTGTTGGACTTAAACTACTGTATATCAGCATGTAAAGCTGAGTTCTTGTGAGCTACTACGGTGTATTTATGATGTGAAAAATTATATCTAAAATATATATACAAAAAATGTATATATATATATATATATATATATATATATATATATATATATATACACACACATATATATATACACATATATATATATACATATATATATATATATATTTATACACACACATATATATATATATATTTATACATATATATATATATATATATATACACACTACTATGAATGGCATGCTAAAGAATTACATATACTTGTGTAATAAAAAAATGTTTTTTCAAACATAAAAAATAAAATCTAAACAATAATACTAAAAAATTAAGTGGGTCACCTACACCATACACACTCATACTCGTGTGTCACTATAATCAAAAAACAAAGGAAACGTGTCGTGCTCCACTAATATATGTGAAATATACTCTATGGACTTATTCATAAACAATATAAAATTCAAAGTCATTTTTCAATAAATCATAAAGAACACATTTCCTTTAAGCGTCGTGCCCCTCCCCTACGCGTTACGACACCGGGTCACGTGGCTTCATCAGGGGGAATTGATTGGACGGCACAACGCTCATTGACTTTTATATAGGTATAGTAATCTTCAGTAGCCTCCCTGTCACAGCAGTGCACACTGGTGAAGGCGCACATAAGTAAAGTTTTTTGTGGACTTTTTTAATGTTTCGCTAGAGGAAGACACCTAAACAAGCACGGATTGTGTTTAAAATAAGCACGCAGTTTCAGAAGGACTGCACACGAAAGTTGGACTCACATATGCTATTTATAATTTATTGAAAATTACTTTGAATTTTATATGGTTTATGAATAAGTCCATAAAGCAGGGGCGGACTGACCATTTTGAAACTCAGGGGTGCACTGCATACAGAGGGCAGAGTTCGGGGATGCGCTGCATACAGAGGGCAGAGTTTGGGGGTGTGCTGCATACAGAGGGCAGAGTTTTGGGGGGTGTGCTGCATACAGAGGGCAGAGTTTGGGGGTGAGCTGCATACAGAGGGCAGAGTTTGGGGGGTGAGCTGCATACAGAGGGCAGAGTTCGGGGGTGTGCTGCATACAGAGGGCAGAGTTCGGGGGTGCGCTGCATACAGAGGGCAGAGTTCGGGGGTGAGCTGCATACAGAGGGCAGAGTTTGGGGGTGAGCTGCATACAGAGGGCAGAGTTTGGGGGTGCGCTGCATACAGAGGGCAGAGTTCGGGGGTGCGCTGCATACAGAGGGCAGAGTTCGGGGGGGTGCGCTGCATACAGAGGGCAGAGTTCGGGGGTGCGCTGCATACAGAGGGCAGCAGAGTTCGGGGGTGCGCTGCATACAGAGGGCAGAGTTCGGGGGTGCGCTGCATACTGAGGGCAGAGTTCGGGGTGCGCTGCATACAGAGTGCAGAGTTCAATCTTCTTCCACAGTTACTTACCTCTGCACCCCCATCCACATCTCCCTGTCACCCCTCTTCAGCTCGGACCTCTGCATGCAAAATCTCCACCATCTTCTACTTACACGTCTTACTTTTGTTGCTGTATTAAGCTGAAGCACCCAGCCGGCTCTAGTCCCTCCCCCACACACTGTAGGTGGCTCCGCCTCTCTCACCTGCTGGGAGATCATTCAGTGGGGGTGTCAGCCTAAACTCTGCACCCCGGTACCTGCATCTCCCTGGTCACCATCCTGCACTCAGTGGGAGCCGCTCAGGTGATCAGATCTGGGAGGGCCAGGGGCGGACTGACCATTTGGAAATTCGGGCACTGCCCGAGGGTCCGGGGTCAGTAGGGGGCCCCATGAGATGCTCCTGGTACCTTTTTCATAGGCTTTTTTGAGTTTTGGGCAAGGACACAGGGGCCCCATGATCCCCTATTGCCCGGGGGCCCCATGAGTTGTCAGTCCGCCCCTGCCGTAGAGTATATTTCACATATATTAGTGGAGCGTGACACGTTTGCAATTGTTTTTGATACTGTACACCGGCACATTTTAAAAGTAAGGTAGTTCTTTAATTGCAGAGGAGCTAAGTGAGGTAGCCGGTCAGCTTGGCAGGTGCCCCCCCATCACAAGAATAGCTGAACAGAACAACAAATCTTTCAGCAGGTATAATAGATTCCATATACACATTTCAGTGTTTATCCATTCTATCCATCTGCCGAACGTTCAGTTGTAATACACAGATGACATCACACACACTCACTTCTCTTCTGCTCAGGTTTAAGGAAGGAAGGAAATCGTTTTCCATTCTGTCCATCATCCGCACGATTTCCTCGAACGCCTTGCGGTATCGCCGCTCATCGACCACTTTCACCTGGAAAAGTACCAAAGTCACAACGGTCAGGAAACAAGGGAAAGGATGAGCTCAGCATTTTCATTGTATTTAGAGAATGCTAAACAATTCAGCAGTGATTTCCTGATCGGGGACACGAAAGAACAAGAGAAATATACAAAATAACTGTGTGCCAGGGAAAGAAAAACAAACAAACTATAAAAAAATGACAGAGCTAATATCTGCAGAACAGAGCCAACCTATGATGTACCCGAGACTGGGCGTACATCCTCCCTCACGCCATACATGATACAATCTGACCGTACAGTCTCTTTTGGATCCACCAACATATATGCGGTACAAGGGCCTGTCTGATTAAATACCGACTGTACAGCTCCTGGATACCGATTGTACAGTTTAGACAGGTCGTGGATACCGATTGTACAGTTTAGACAGGTCCTGGATTCCGAATGTACAGTTTAGACAGCTCCTGGATACCGATTGTACACTTTAGACAGGTCGTGGATACCGATTGTACAGTTTAGACAGGTCCTGGATACAGATTGTATAGTTTAGACAGGTCGTGGATACCGATTGTACAGTTTAGACAGGTCCTGGATACCGATTGTATAGTTTAGACAGGTCCTGGATACCGATTGTACAGTTTAGACAGGTCCTGGATACCGATTGTATAGTTTAGACAGGTCCTGGATACCGATTGTACAGTTTAGACAGGTCCTGGATACCGATTGTACAGTTTTGACAGGTCCTGGATACCGATTGTATAGTTCAGACAGCTCCTCATTTTACACAGTTTTGGTAAATCTAAAAGTAGATTGTACACAGACTGTATATTCAGATAATTACATGCATGGTGAAGCTTTAACACCTCCCCACTAAGGGTACACATATACCGTATGTGGCCTCATGGATAACATGGGACCGTATGTATGAGCTACTGTGTTTGTACTGCAAAGAGCTCCCAGCACAGAGATTGAGCTGTCACGGACAGCTCCGAGCTGAGCACCAAAGACTGAAAACAGGGCAGACAGATTCCCGATCATGTGATCACTTTTTTTTTTTTTTTTTTTTAAATCAAGCAAACTTTTTATTGAGAGGAACAGACATGCAGTCACATCACAAATTCAATGAAAACAAGCACAGGTCGATTCGACAAGCGAATATTACAGTATACAGATAGTAAAACCTGTGCTGCAGGCAAGGAAAGGAAGCCCAGCATAATATCAGCCAACATGATGGTTTTACAGGGAATAATCATTGCTTCTCCTCGTCACAAGGTCCTGGATTCCGATTGTACAGTTTAAACACGTCCTGGATACCGATTGTACAGTTTAGACAGGTCCTGGATACCGATTGTATAGTTTAGACAGCTCCTGGATACCGATTGTACACAGTTTAGACAGTTCCTGGATACAGATTTTACAGTTTAGACAGGTCCTGGATACCGATTGTACAGTTTAGACAGCTCCTAGATACCGATTGCACACTTTAGACAGGTCCTGGATACCGATTGTACAGTTTAGACAGCTCCTGGATACCGATTGTACAGTTTAGACAGCTCCTAGATACCGATTGTACACTTTAGACAGGTCATGGATACCGATTGTACAGTTTAGACAGGTCATGGATACTGATTGTATAGTTTAGATAGCTCCTAGATACCGATTGTACACTTTAGACAGGTCGTGGATACCGATTGTACAGTTTTGACAGGTCCCGGATACCGATTGTACAGTTTAGACAGGTCATGGATACCGATTGTACAGTTTAGACAGGTCATGGATACTGATTGTATAGTTTAGATAGCTCCTAGATACCGATTGTACACTTTAGACAGGTCCTGGATACTGATTGTACAGTTTAGATAGCTCCTGGATACCGATTGTACAGTTTAGACAGGTCGTGGATACCGATTGTACAGTTTAGACAGGTCCTGGATACCGATTGTATAGTTTAGACAGCTCCTGGATACCGATTGTACACTTTAGACAGGTCGTGGATACCGATTGTACAGTTTAGACAGGTCCTGGATACCGATTGTACAGTTTAGATAGGTCCTGGATACCGATTGTACAGTTTAGACAGGTCCTGGATACCGATTGTACAGTTTTTGACAGGTCCTGGATACCGATTGTATAGTTTAGACAGGTCCTGGATACCGATTGTATAGATTAGACAGGTCCTGGATACCGATTGTATAGATTAGACAGGTCCTGGAGACCGATTGTACAGTTTAGACAGGTCCTGGATACCGATTGTACAGTTTTGACAGGTCCTGGATACCGATTGTATAGTTTAGACAGGTCCTGGATACCGATTGTATAGATTAGACAGGTCCTGGATACCGATTGTATAGATTAGACAGGTCCTGGATACTGATTGTATAGTTCACACAGCTCCTCATTTTACACAGTTTTGGTAAATCTAAAAGTAGATTGTACACAGACTGTATATTCAGATAATTACATGCATGGTGAAGCTTTAACACCTCCCCACTAAGGGTACACATATACTGTGTGTGGTCTCATGGATAACATGGGACCGTATGTATGAGCTACTGTGTTTGTACTGCAAAGAGCTCCCAGCACAGAGATTGCGCTGTCACGGACAGCTCCGAGCTGAGCACCAAAGACTGAAAACAGGGCAGACAGATTCCCGATCATGTGATCACTTTTTTTTTTTTTTTTTAAATCAAGCAAACTTTTTATTGAGAGGAACAGACATGCAGTCACATCACAAATTCAATGAAAACAAGCACAGGTCGATTCGACAAGCGAATATTACAGTATACAGATAGTAAAACCTGTGCTGCAGGCAAGGAAAGGAAGCCCAGCATAATAACAGCCAACATGATGGTTTTACAGGGAATAATCATTGCTTCTCCTCGTCACAAGTAAACGTCAAGCCATTTATCCCAAACTTTATATTTATCAGGGCGTCCTCTATGTATATTCAAATAAATATAAATGCAGCGCTTAAAATGACAATAATATAGTAGTGACAATAATAATGTGGGCGCTAAAAGTGATTATAATGCAGATGGTGAACCGTCGTACCCTTACCTGGAGTTGTCCCTGGAAGGTGAGAGTGTCCTGTGAGTGAGTGGAGTTACCTTGTGTGCTTATGGTGTGCCAGATGATTCCGCCATCCTTGATGACCATACTGGGATATTATATGCGCATATCTTTTGCGCTTCTGGTGAGTGCATTCACATTACTGGTCTACATCACAGAGATCACCAGCACGGAACACGGATCACCTTGAAATTTGGACCTTTTTTTTACCCTGTGTATTTATAAACGCACTTCAGTCACTTTATTATAGTTGCTTTTATCAGGCACATGCGTCATTTTATGACGGTTCACCATCTGCATTTTAATCACTTTTAGCGCCCACATTATTATCACTACTATAATATTGTCATTTTAAGCGCTGCATTTATATTTATTTGATGCATTTATATTTATTTGATTATTTAGAGGTTAAGAGGTTTTACCTTCAATGCCAGCTGCTGTACTACCTTTGCGCTCACATATATCCCTCTTTTATACAATCCTCTACGTACAGTCAGGTCCATAAATATTGGGACATCGACACAATTCTAACATTTTTGGCTCTATACACCACCACAATGGATTTGAAATGAAACGAACAAGATGTGCTTTAACTGCAGACTGTCAGCTTTTTCATTTGAGGGTATTTACATCCAAATCAGGTGAACGGTGTAGGAATTACAACAGTTTGCATATGTGCCTCCCACTTGTTAAGGGACCAAAAGTAATGGGACAGAATAATAATCATAAATCAAACTTTCACTTTTTAATACTTGGTTGCAAATCCTTTGCAGTCAGTTACAGCCTGAAGTGTGGAACGCATAGACATCACCAGACGCTGGGTTTCATCCCTGGTGATGCTCTGCCAGGCCTCTACTGCAACTGTCTTCAGTTCCTGCTTGTTTCTTGGGGCATTTTCCCTTCAGTTTTTGTCTTCAGCAAGTGAAATGCATGCTCAATCGGATTCAGGTCAGGTGATTGACTTGGCCATTGCAGAGCATTCCACTTCTTTCCCTTAAAAAACTCTTTGGTTGCTTTTGCAGTCTGCTTTGGGTCATTGTCCATCTGCACTGTGAAGCGTCCAATGAGTTGTGAAGCATTTTGGCTGAATATGAGCAGATAATATTCCCGAAACACTTCACAATTCATCCGGCTGCTTTTTGTCAGCAGTCACATCATCAATAAATACAAGAGAAGCAGTTCCATTGGCAGCCATACATGCCCACGCCATGACACTACCACCACCATGCTTCACTGATGAGGTGGTATGCTTAGGATCATGAGCAGTTCCTTTCCTTCTCCATACTCTTCTCTTCCCATCACTCTGGTACAAGTTGATGTCGGTCTCATCTGTCCATAGGATGTTGTTCCAGAACTGTGAAGGCTTTTTTACATGTCGTTTGGCAAACTCTAATCTGGCCTTCCTGTTTTTGAGGCTCACCAATGGTTTCCATCTTGTGGTGAACCCTCTGTATTCACTCTGGTGAAGTCTTCTCTTGATTGTTGCCTTTGACACACATACACCTACCTCCTGGAGAGTGTTCCTGATCTGGCCAACTGTTGTGAAGGGTGTTTTCTTCACCAGGGAAAGAATTCTGTCGGTCATCAACCACAGTTGTTTTCTGTGGTCTTCCAGGTCCTTTGGTGTTGCTGAGCTCATTGGTGCGTTCTTTCTTTTTAAGAATGTTCCAAACAGTTGTTTTTTGGCCACGCCTAATGTTTTTGCTATCTCTCTGATGGGTTTGTTTTGTTTTTTCAGCCTAATGATGGCTTGCTTCACTGATAGTGACAGCTCTTTGGATCTCATCTTGAGAGTTGACAGCAACAGATTCCAAATGCAAATAGCACACTTGAAATGAACTCTGGACCTTTTATCTTCTCATTGTAATTGGGATAATGAGGGAATAACACACACCTGGCCATGGAACAGCTGAGAAGCCAATTGTCCCCATTACTTTTGGTCCCTTAACAAGTGGGAGGCACATATGCAAACTGTTGTAATTCCTACACCGTTCACCTGATTTGGATGTAAATACCCTCAAATTAAAGTTGACAGCCTGCAGTTAAAGCACATCTTGTTCGTTTCATTTCAAATCCATTGTGGTGGTGTATAGAGCCAAAAATGTTAGAATTGTGTCGATGTCCAAATATTTATGGACCTGACTGTATATGGATGACCTTCTTACATGGTAAAGCACTATTTACCGCAGCTACCCACTGTCAAAAATGTAGGCGACAACGCCTGCAACCACATATGAGCAAGCAATAATCTAGCCACAAACAGCATCTCTTGCAGAAAAATTAAGACACGATATATCCTTTTGATCAAAGTGCAGATGTGCGTATATCTTTAAAGGTAATCCACCACTTCTGATGGGTGTGCACTCACCAGAACTTTGATGTATACAAGCATTGGTTACAATCTGTCACATCTGGGTGCAGGAGCAGAGAAGCAGCTTATGGGGTTAATCATCCAGCATCCTCTCAGTACCGGTGGTGCGTGTATCTATAATCTGGGGAGCGGCTCCTTGCCCAGAAGACGGCGTGACGTCAGCAATGATGGCTCCACCCAACGTGTTTCGTGCGACAGCACGTCCTCAGGGGTACGCCAATTTATGAATGGAGTATAATTTATTTATATATATTACACTTTATATATATATATATAATTAGTGGGTTGCCCTAGACACGATGTGCACTCCATTGCACCCGCATGTGTCACCTTGGTGTTCATCGTTAGGCAGTTAATATATATGGTGCTTACCCCAATGCTGAACAGAGAGCTGACAGGCTTGTGGTCGCTGGTTTTCAGCTCCATGTGGCTGCGGTATCTTAGCTGTTTAATGTTACTTCCTCTCCACAGAACGCGGTCACACCAGGCCGGCACACGGCACTTGCCACTGGAGATCATGAAAACAAAAATTGTATTACTACTAATAGGGGTAGTTTAGTCTGTGAGGACCTTAATGAATGGTTTATTCCCTTTCCAGCAGCCCCAGCTTCTCTTTAAAAAGGTCTGAAGTTGGAGGGGAGCAGCAGGAACGCTTGCATGACCATTGTGATTGGCTGTCACAGTGGTCACATGATCAGGAACCAGTCTCTTCGGCTACCAATCATTAGCAAGGACCAAGAATTGTGTTCTACTGCCCGGTATCTGTGCTGGGAGTACAAGTACCAGCGACGCATATGTGTGGTTTGTGGGTATTAAAGCCCATCCTTTAGCCTCCGCACATATGTGTTAGGCAGACATAAAAGGGATTAAAAACAACGTAAATGTTTTTTTTTCTGATTTGTTCTCAGTACAAACTACACGTACAAGTGGTGGTATATATACTGGAAATTTTTTTTTAATACTAGTAATGGTGGCGATCAGCGACTTATAGCAGGACTGTGGCGGCCATTCTGACACTGAGGGGGAACTGTCACTGACATCCCCAGTGACACTAATACAGTGATCAGTGCTAATAAAAAGCACTGACACTGGGCAGGAAGGGATTAACCTCCCTAGCGATCCAATTATGTCAGTATTTCTGTGCTCAAAGCGGTACATTTTTTTGCATGGAAATATGTTGTTTTTTTATTGTAGGCTGTAATTCTTAGGAATAACTCACTGAAATCTGTCCGAACAAGAGTCTAGTAAACATCCCGGGTATGATAAAATTTGAAACACGAAATCATGAATTATAATTTAATAAATAATCCTAAAAATAAAAATATAATAATAATAAATATAATTCAATAATATAATCAAACCAAAAACATTGAAATTTGAAATATAGCGCCAAGTTCGCACATCGCTGAGCAAAGTCGCAGAATCGTTTTCAGTGTCTGATGAGGAATTTCCCCCACGAATCATTATCACTCAATTCTGCAAGTGGTTCTGATTTACTATCGCTGTTCTCTAGCCGGTCTAAAACCGCGTCTGACCTAAAGGGACGCTTTTTGGACGCCATGGACGTTTCTCAGTTTCCAGGCAGAAAGAACAGTAAAAATGCAGGCAGGGCGCCGGACAAAGCACTCGGGACAAAATGTATGTGAAATGGTTGGATACAGGAATGTTATACTATGTGATTTTAGTGAATTTAGTGAATGTCACTTTTTGACATTTTCAAATTTCCCGCCGATTATGTCCCCGTATGTCCTGATGTCGCAGGGAACGGAACCCGGCAGACGGATGCCGGCATCGGCCGGAGGAGATGGCCGGGGACGCTGCAGGGGGGACATCACAGGAGCGCAGGACAAGGTAAGTGCTGGAGGGATCCCGGAGCAACGCTGCAGCGTATTCGAGTGTAGCTCGGGGGGGTTACCGCTTGTGGTGCTTAAACTTTACCCCGAGCTACACTCGGGAATACCGCCAGGGGGGTTAATGGGCTTTTAGATGTGAACCTTTCAGAGGATCCACTCACGTGCCTTGGGCTGCTGTTAGAAACCACAGGCCCCATACAGTCGACCTGACAGGGCCCCCTCTAACAAAAAAAAAAAAAAAAAAAAAAACAGTTTACGATGCTTTAGTTATGAACACGAGTGATCGGTACCAGAGAGGGAAATGCACGGTGCACAGGGAGGGTGAAGGGTGCAGCGGGAGGAGCAATTACTAGAACCGATCCCCTGTATGACCATCTCTGAACAGCTGGGTAGGAGAGGACAAGAATCCAGCTTTCAGCTGCTGCAAGAAGAGCCATACAGGGGATCAGTTCCAATAATTCCACGCCGTGCTGGTCACCCTCCCTACCGACATCCAATTCACCCAGATGCCTGGGCCCCCCCTGCTGGTCTGGGCCCCGTACAGGAGGACTGGTGGTACCCCCTTATCCACAGCCCTGCACGTGCCTATTGGGCTATGTATATTTTTCTGTGCTTTAGCCACCAGTGCAGATCACTGCTGTACGTGCGCTGTTCATGACCCGAAGGCAAATGTGGACCTCCCCCACCCTCCGACCCCATCTGACTGCATTTTTGATCTTAATAAGTGCATTTCTTATAAGAGACGCTTTCTTAGGTGAGGGCACACATGGAGGTAGAAGGGTGTGCAGATACTAGAACCAATCCCCCTACTGAGAAAGAAGAGTAGAAGCTGGCAGTGTGAGGTCCCGATCATGTGATCACTGATTGGTCAAACAGTGATCACATGCAGAGTAGTAAGCAATATGTCACTTCTGACATCATTGCTTACTACGTGTGAAATCTGTGAATGATCACCGAGATCACATGGTACAGGGATATTCACAACAGCCTTGTTCCATGTGACAAGGTGTGACCAATCACAGCTCACACAGTATTTCTCAATGACTGCAAGAATGCAGCTGGAGAGGAGGAGAAATGATTGCTTTTACATCCTTTATGGGTGTAAAAGCAGTCAGTGTAAAAAGAAAAAAAAAATCTTCATCACCCCCCACAAGTAGTACAGTGTCACCATGGTGACACTGTACTGCTAGGGTGACAGTATGTAAAATAAAAATAAAAAATAATATTAAAAAATGTAAAAAAATTTGGCTACAGTGTTGCATGACCGCGCAATTGTCATTCAAAGTCTGATAGCGCTGAAAGCTGAAAATTGGCCTGGACTGGAAGGGGGTGAAAGTGATCGGACTGGAAGGGGGTAAAAGTGATCGGACTGGAAGGGGGTGAAAGTCTCCGGACTGGAAGGGGGTGAAAGTCTCCGGACTGGAAGGGGGTGAAAGTCTCCGGACTGGAAGGGGGTGAAAGTCTCCGGACTGGAAGGGGGTGAAAGTCTCCGGACTGGAAGGGGGTGAAAGTCTCCGGACTGGAAGGGGGTGAAAGTGTCCAGACTGGAAGGGGGGGAAAGTGTCCGGACTGGAAGGGGGGGAAAGTGTCCGGACTGGAAGGGGGTGAAAGTGTCCGGACTGGAAGGGGGTGAAAGTGTCCGGACTGGAAGGGGGTAAAAGTGTCCAGACTGGAAGAGGGGGGAAAGTGTCCGGACTGGAAGGGGGTGAAAGTGTCCGGACTGGAAGGGGGTGAAAGTGTCCGGACTGGAAGGGGGTGAAAGTGTCCGGACTGGAAGGGGGTAAAAGTGTCCGGACTGGAAGGGGGTGAAAGTGTCCGGACTGGAAGGGGGTAAAAGTGTCCGGACCGGAAGGGGGGGAAAGTGTCCGGACCGGAAGGGGGTAAAAGTGTCCGGACCGGAAGGGGGTAAAAGTGTCCGGACCGGAAGGGGGTGAAAGTGTCCGGACTGGAAGGGGGTAAAAGTGTCCGGACCGGAAGGGGGTAAAAGTGTCCGGACCGGAACGGGGTAAAAGTGTCCGGACCGGAACGGGGTAAAAGTGTCCGGACTGGAAGTGGTTAAGTTTCTAAAACATTCTCAAATAAAATAAAATCTGACTGATATAAAGAAAGGCCAATTTGAAAAGAGCAGATCATCATCAGCTGTGGAACACAAGTCCCAGCATGCTTTGCCAGGTTCTCAGCCCTATAACCTAGGTGTCAGGGACTTATTGCTGCACAAAAGGCAGAGATCACGGGGGCGCCATTCAATTGGAGATCACTAAACGTTCCCAATATCTCCGCCAAAACGGTGTAACTGCATCACTGACCACCACAAGCTACTGCTAGGTATCAGGATTCTGAATGGAAGGTTGGGAATGTTTCCTGTGGTGTACTGGAAATATGCACCAGCCAGGCTTTGAAAGGAAATGATATTGCACACCGCCAGATTTCATTTCGCACGGGTTGCTGAATTTCCCCCACCCCATGTGTCGGGGGAGCTCTCTTTTCAGGCTTGATATTTTAACAACGGTAGCAGAACTGGTGGTGAAAATAGATGCAGATGTGTGTCGCCTGACAAGCAGACATTACAGCAGCCAAAGAACATAAAACATTCAGCGTAATAAAATGTTCAGAAAAGATCCTGCATCCGCCTCCTACATGAATAAAGGCTTTCTTCCTTCTACAAGTGGCATCCAGCAGAAACCACATTTCACAGAAGCCTTTCTGTAGGAAATGTCATGCCACTTAGTGTCAATACACACGATTCGGCTCTCCCGTGTGACATTTGCAGCTATGAAAACATTTATTATGGAGTATAAAGAGCAATTGGCCATGGCACTCAAACTGGTGCGTTTAGAAAAAAACTTGACCGATCTGTTGGCAGTCCCAGTGAAAGAAGGTGAAGTTGATCCAGGGAATATATCCGATTGCCTCTCGAGGGATCAGGAAGGAATTTTTTTCCCCTGCAGGAGCAAATTGGATCGTGCTTTGCTGGGTTTTTTTTGTCTTCCTCTGGATCAACTGTGGGTGTAGGATTAACCACTTGCCTACCAGGCACTTATACCCCCTTCCTTACCAGGCCAATTTTCAGCTTTCAGCGCTGCCGCACTTTGATTGACAATTGCACGGTCATGCAACATTGTACCCATATGAAATTTTGATCATTTTTTCCTCACGAATAGAGCTTTCTTTTGGTGGTATGTCCTCCCCGCTGGGCGCTTTACTTTTTGCGCTATAAATAAAAAAGTGCAAAAAATTTGAAAAAAAAAAAAAAAAAAGTTTCTTTGTTTCTATTATAAAATTTTTCAAACAGGCATTTTTCTCCTTCACCGATGTGCGTTGATGAGGCAGCACTGATGGGCACTGATAGGCAGTACTAATGAGGTGGCACGGATAGGGGCACTGATAGACAGCACTAATGAGGTGTCACGGATAGGGGCACTGATAGACAGCACTAATGAGGTGTCACGGATAGGCGGCACTAATATGCAGCACTGATAGGCGGCACTGATAGGTGACACTGATGATGGGTACTGATAGACGGCACTGACTGGCATCACTGCTGGGCACTGACTGGCGGCACTGACTGGTACAACCCCTGGGCACTGACTGGTGGCACTGACTGGCAGCACTGCTGGGCTGTACTGGTGGGTGGCACTGGTGGGCAGCACTGGTGGGTGGGCACAGGTGGGTGGCACTGGTGGGTGGGCACATGTAGGTGGCACTTCTGGGCACAGGTAGGTGGCACTGCAGAGTGGCACAGGTGGGTGCACTGCTGGGCACAGGTGGGTGCACTGCTGGGCACCGATCATCAGGGCACTGATGATCAGTGACCCTGATGATCGGTGCCGATCCCCGCTTTGACAACTGCCGGTTCTCGGCAGTACTTTCCTCACGATCTGACAGCATGAGGAAAGCGCAGCCGAGAACCGGCACTTGCATTTCCCTCTGATCAGCGTGTCATTGGACACGGCTGATCATATGGTAAAAGGCCGCTGTGATTGGCCTTTTACCACATCACGTGATCAGCTGTGTCCGTAGGACACAGCGATCACGGAGATCGCGTTCTGGGAGGACGTCATATGACGTCCACCCAGAACTGGCCGGCCGCAGTGAAGCCGTCATTCGGCTATCTGCGGTCGGCAGGTAGTTAAGAACAAAAGTCCATCCAGTTCAACCATTTAAAAAAAAAAAAAAGTTATAATCCTATCAGAGGCGGACTGACAACTCATGGGGCCCCCGGGCAATAGGGGATCATGGGGCCCCTGTGTCCTTGCCCAAACTCAAAAAAGCCTATGAAAAAGGTACCAGGGGCATCTCATGGGGCCCCCTACTGACCCCGAGCCCTCGGGCAGTGCCTGAGTTTCCAAATGGTCAGTCCGCCCCTGAATCCTATACCCAGAACAACATTCTGGATAAAAGCGCACAGATGTGTCCCAAAGGAAATAAGTGAATGATATAAGTCAATTGTGATTAGTGGGGAAAAACTCACTTCTGCCATGGTAAGAACACATCGGTGTGTGGAAAGTATGACCAGGAGCCAGGCGCTGTGTGGTTTTGGGATAAAAATAATACACCTTATATGGAGGCGGGCCTTTAATAATTCATATGGTAAAAAATAGATAACCAGCCTGTGGCTTTAAAAAGCCAGGTTCAAAGATGGACGTCCCGTCTGCTCAGAGGGAAGCAGTGGAGAATAGAATGCCTGTCAGGGACCACGTGTATCCAACGTCCCAGCGTCCCAGGTGACGTCACCACGATGTGGAGATGGAGGGGGGGGACACTTGCTGGAGCCGCAGCTTTAGAAGGAGGTTGCCGGGACAACATGTTTTGTGCGCATGCAGGTATCCCGGGTGACGTCACCACGATGTGCATTCAGCGAGAGTCGTCCCCCCCCCCCCCCCCCGTCTCTCCACATCATGGTGACATCACCTGGGACGTCGGATAATACACATGATCCCTGCACTGACAGGCATTCTACTCTCCTCTGCTTCCCTCTGAGCAGACGGGCCATCCATCTTTGAACCTGGCTTCTTAACCACTTCCAAGTCCAGACACTTTTGCCCCCTTCCAGTCCGGACACTTTCACCCCCTTCCAGTCCGGACACTTTCACCCCCTTCCAGTCTGGACACTTTCACCCCCTTCCAGTCCGGACACTTTCACCCCCTTCCAGTAAGGACACTTTCACCCCCTTCCAGTCCGGACACTTTCACCCCCTTCCTGTCCGGATACTTTCACCCCCTTGCAGTCCAGACACTTTCCCCCCCCTTCCAGTCCGGACACTTTCACCCCCTTCCAGTCCAGACACTTTCCCCCCTTCCAGTCCGGACACTTTCACCCCCTTCCAGTCCGGACACTTTTCCCCCTTCCTGTCCGGACACTTTTCCCCCTTCCTGTCCGGACACTTTCACCCCCTTCCAGTCCGGACACTTTCCCCCCTTCCAGTCCGGACACTTTCCCCCCTTCCAGTCCGGACACTTTCCCCCCTTCCAGTCCGGACACTTTCCCCCCCTTCCAGTCCGGACACTTTCACCCCCTTTCAGTCCGGACACTTTCACCCCCTTCCAGTCCAGACACTTTCACCCCCTTCCAGTCCGGACACTTTCCCCCCCTTCCAGTCCGGACACTTTCACCCTCTTCCAGTCCGGACACTTTCCCCCCCTTCCAGTCCGGACACTTTCACCCCCTTCCAGTCCAGGCCAATTTTCAGCTTTCAGCGCTATCACACTTTGAATGACAATTGCGCGGTCATGCAACACTGTACCCATATGAATTTTTTAGCTTTTTTTGAGACAGATAAAGCTTTATTTTGGGGGTATTTATTCACCGCTGGGATTTTTATTTTTTTGCTATATAAATGAAAAACTCCAAAAATTTTGAAAAAAGTGTTTTTCTTGTAAAATTTTGGAAATAATATTTCATCATAAATCTTGGCCAAAATGTATTCAGTTATCTTTTTAGTAAAAAACAACCCAAATTAGTTTATAACCAAAAATTATGTTACATTTTTAATTTATTTTTTTATATTATTATTTAGGTTTTTTTTTTTTTCTCTACATACTGTCACCCTAACAGTACAATGACACTGTACTACTTATGGGGGGGTGTGAAGATTTTCTTTTTTTATTCCGTTATCTTTTTAGTAAAAAAAAAAAAAAAACCCAAATTAGTTTATAACCAAACATTATAATTTTTAAAAAAATATTTTACATTTTTTTTTTAACATACTGTCACCCTAGCAGTACAGTGTCACCATGGTGATACTGTACTACTTGTGGGGGGTGATTAAGATCTTTTTTTTTTGCACTGATTGCTTTTATACCCATAAAGGATGTAAAAGCAATTTCTCCTTCTCTCTGGCTGCATTCTTGCAGCTATTGAGAAATGCTGTGTGAGCTGTGATTGGTCACAGCTTGTCACATGGTACAAGGCTGTTGTGAATAGCCCTGTACCATGTGACCTCTGTGATCATTCAGAGATTTCACACGTAGTAAGCAATGATGTCACAAGTGACATCTTGCTTAATACTTTGCATGTGATCGCTGATTGGCCAATCAGTGATCACATGATCGGGACCTCGCACAGAGGTCCAGTACAACAATCGGTGTTCCACTGTGTCCGGAGGACACAGCGGGCACCGGATCGTGGTGCTGCACAGCTTGAAAATGCGGGTGCCGTTTATGAACGGCAACCCGCCCTTGGACTGCCACCGTCCGGCCGTTTATAAACAGCAGCCGGAAGGCAAGTGGTTAAAGCCACAGGCTGGTTATCTATTTTTTACCATATGAATTATTAAAAGCACGCCTCCATATAACTACACAGCGCCTGGCTCCTGGTCATACTTTTCACAGACCGATGTGTTCTTACCATGGCAGAAGTGAGTTTTTTCCCCACCAATCACAGTTGACATACATCATTCACTTATTTCCTTTGGGACACATCTGTGCGCTTTTATCCAGAACGTTCTTCCGGGTGTAGGAGTATAACGTCTTTTTTTTTTTTTTAATGGTTGAACTGGATGGACTTTTGTCTTTTTTTCAGCCAGACTAACTATGTAAAGAAAGGTTTTCTGACCACCAGTCTGTTACCCTCAGCAGAGTGACTTCGTTTACCTGGAATCCCAGCCATCGGTCTTAGGGTCGTATTTGTACGTTGGGATGAAAGTGATCGGCCCTTCTGTGAAATCCGCAAAGACGTTCTTCAGCTCTCTCTGGATGTTAAGCTGCAGGACATGAGGGAGAGATGGACATCATCAGAATAAGAGGGTAAAACAAGAATGGCGGTACAAGGACAGACAAACTCAGTCTGGCTTAAAGTATAACAAGTATAATAAAAACTAAAAGTCCCGATCACCGCATTACAAGGAAAGCAGCCGCAGCCAAGCTCCGCCCTAGCCGTGCCTCCCAATGCGTTTCGTCCCATCCCAGGGGCTGTTGTGGATGAAACGCGTTGGAAACACGACTAACACTGAGCTTGGCTGAGGCTGCCTCCACTTGACTGCAGAACCGCTGTCTTCGTGCCTGAATTCACCCTTCTGTGTATAAAGTGCCTTTTCCACCTAGTAAATGTGAGTGCAGTATGATTGCTTTTATATCGGTTGATCAAATTGTACTCACATTCAGAAGGTGTAAAAGGCGCTTTGTATACAGACTGGGATAGGAGGGAGAATGCCGGGGATTGGGTCAGCAATTTTGCACATAAATAGCCCAGTTCCCCACTTCCTTGATGCAGACAAATGGGACAAGGACCGAACATCCCCCCATTTATCAGACACTGCACACTGGCTATGTATTACCGCCCATTTCCTGTACTTGAGGTTGTCAGTCGACACATTTTGGGCACTGATCCCCCTTTTTTCATGCCTCTCAGGATTGGAGTGTGACAAATGCGGGAATGCTCCATCTTTTCCTGGTCTGTCAGCATCAAGGGAGTGGAGAACTGGACCGTTCTACATGCAGTACCGCTGACTCCAGTCCCTGCATTCTCCCTCCGAAGCCATGCTGTGTACATTTTTTATATGGAATAGTTTTTATGTGTTTTTAAAGTGTTTTTATGCTGTGCCAGATCCCTGCACTTTCTTCTTCACTTGTGTTTTAAAGCGGAGTTCCACTCACCCTGTCAAAAAATAAAAGTCAGCAGCTACAAAAACTGTAGCTGCTGACTTTTAAAGAACAGCCACTTACCTGTCCCTCGGTTCTGCGGTGTGTCCCCCACAGCCCGTTTTACTGGCCGTCCTGTATTCCAGGAGGCCGGCATCTTCAGTGTGGGCCCCCGGCTGTGATAGCTTGCGGCTTCACAGCCGGGTACCCACTGCGCATGCGTGAGAAGCGCTGCACTCCCTGAATGGTCCTGCAGTCTTGTGGGACTGGTCACGTGTCCCAAAAGACTACAGGGAGGGAGGGAGGACACCTTCCGCTTCCGATCGCCCAGGCGATCGGACCGGAAGTGGGAGCGGGTACCTGTCAAATTCGGGTACCTGCTCCCCTCCCCCCCCCCCCAAAGGTGCCAATCCTTAATGGGGAGCAGTCCTTAACAACTTGCCATCCGGCCGCTGTATATAAACGACCGGACGGTGGCAGTCCAGGGGTGGGTTGCCGCTCATAGACGGCACCCACCATTTTGGACTGTGCGCGCTCCCTGGGAGTGGAATACCGATCGTCGTACGGGACCTCTGTGTGAGGTCCCGATCATGTGATCACTGATTGGCCAATCAGTGATCACATGCAGAGTAGTAAGCAAGATGTCACTTCTAACATCATAGCTTACTACGTGTGAAATCTATGAAAGATCACAGAGGTCACATGGTACAAGCAGGGGCGGACTGACCATTTGGAAACTCGTGCACTGCCCGAGGGCCCGGGGTCAGTATGGGGCCCCATGAGATGTCCCTGGTACCTTTTTCATAGGCTTTTTTTTAAATTTGGGCAAGGACACAGGGGCCCCATGATCCCCCATTGCCCGGGGGCCCCATGAGTTGTCAGTCCGCCCCTGGGTACAAGGCTATTCACAACAGCCTCGTACCATGCGACAAGCTGTGACCAATCACAGCTCACACAGTAGTTCTCAATGGCTGCAAGAATGCAGCCAGAGAGGAGAAATGATTGCTTTTAAAGCCTTTATGGGTGTAAAAACAATCAGTGTAAAAAAAAAAAAAGAAAATCTTCATCCCCTCATAAGTAGTACAGTGTCACCATGGTGACAGTGTGTAGAGAAAAAAAAAACCTAAATAATAATATAAAAAAATAAAATAAAAATGTAAAAAAAATTTAAATTATAATTTTTGGTTATAAACTAATTTTGTTTGGGTTATTTTGTTTTTTTACTAAAAATATAACTGAATACATTTTGGCCAAGATTTATGATGAAATATTTGCAAAATTTTATAAGAAAAACACTTTTTTTTCAAGATTTTTGGATTTTTTCATTTATATAGCAAAAAAAAAAATAAAAATCCCAGTGGTGAATACATGCCACCAAAACAAAGGTTTATCTGTTTCAAAAAATTATTAAAAATTAATATGGGTACAGTGTTGCATGACCGCGCAATTCTCATTCAAAGTGTGATAGCGCTGAAAGCTGAAAATTGACCTGGACAGGAAGGGGGTGAAAGTGTCCGGACTGTAAGGGGGGGGGGGGGAAGTGTCCGGACTGGAAGTGGTTAAAGCGTGATTTCCCCTTTTGGGTGGAGCTCCGCTTTAAGGTCTACTGCCATCATGCCCTGTGCTATTTTTCAGGAAGCTACACAAGTTTCTGGCGGTGGATGACTTCATCTGTTTGTGTCAAGGTCCTACCTTTTCCCTGAGGTTATGTTACTCCATGTGCTGGCGTCCATCTTGGATTCTGCTGTGCATGATGGGAATCCATTTATGCCTTCAGGTTTCTGTGGTCCATCCCCCAGAGGGGTGTGGCTGATGACATATAAGCCTGTGGCCCGCACATGCTCTTTGCACTTGTGTCTTGTGTCTTTGTGTTGCTATTACTCTGTTCTGACTCTCGTGACTCTCCTGGTATTCTGATTCGGCTTGTGACTTGACTATTCTTTGTATTCTCCTTTGATCTGACCCTCTGTTGCTGAACCCGGCCCGTGACCTGTGATTCTCGTCTGCTGTCCTGTACTGTTTTGTCCTGTTGTTGTTGACCCGGCTTGTCTGACTACTCTTTTGTCTCTTCCACCAGCTACACGCCATTGGCGGCGGCCATTACCACAGCTGAGGTGTCTCGAGGGCCGCGACCTGGTTTCTGGCTGCGTCAAGTCCATCCCCACCATCAGGGGCCCTGGTGAAGGGCAGCCTGGGACTTAGACTCCGCGCCTTGAGGGACTTCGGTCTGTGGGTGGTGGTTGTCGTCAGCCAGTGCGTTACATTGTTAGGCCTGCCTGTCCGTTCCTCAGCTCCTGTCCTGACAGTTTGGGATTTAGCTGTCTGAACTGCACCCAACCCAGATGGACTGACGTAGGGCAGACATGATGAGCGTTTCTCATTTTTATACACATCGGAAAAGCCAACCATAACAGGAATCTAAATCTATACGGTACATTTTCTTTTACAACAGCCTTTTGAGCCACAATGCTGATCCGGCTGCAGAATTTTACGTTTGCGGTGAAAGAAAAATACATTTTTATTTACCTGATCGAACCGCAGCAAAGTGTTAATGTCGTTTTTAGAAATCATGGTCTTGACTTCCATGGCATCGTATTTACAAAGCCTGTAGTTCAAGTCTCCCAGCCAAATCACTGCGCTGCGAGCAAAAGGAGGGAGAGAACGATGTTACTTCCCGACAGCAAAGCTTACCAAGTGCTAAGAAAGCGTGTATATAGGAGTCTAAAGAGCAAAAGTCACAGAGAGGGTCTCCGCTTTAACAAAAACCTCCAAATGAAGAAATGCTTAGTGGGTACAATGTCATAACAACCCATCGAACCAATCCGTTCTTTGGATTCCGCTCACTCAGTACATTTAAAAATACTAACATACAAACCACCCAAAACTCTGTCCTGACCAGGGGCGGACTGACCATTTGGAAACTTGGGCACTGCCTGAGGGCTCGGGGTCAGTAGGGGGCCCCATGAGATGCCCCTGGTACCTTTTTCATAGGCTTTTTTTGAGTTTGGGCAAGGACACAAGGGGCCCCATGATCCCTATTGCCTGGGGGCCCCATGATCCCCTATTGCCTGGTGGCTCCATGAGTTGTCAGTCCGCCCCTGGTCGCCCAAACTCAAAAAAAAACCTATGAAAAAGGTACCAGGGGCATTTCATGGGGCCCCCTACTGACCCCGGGCCCTCGGGCAGTGCTTGAGTTTCCAAATGGTCAGTCTGCCCCTGGTCCTGACCCATATCATCAACCACGTCTCCAAATACCATCCAAATCATCCTCTCTACTCCTCCCAAGGCCTCCTGCTCTGTAACCTCTCATCACTTCCCTCCCATTCTCCTCTCCAGGACTCCTCCTGAGCCTCTTCCAATCTCTTAATCTGTCTGCCTTTAGGGGATCCCTCAAAACTCATCTCTGCCTAACAACTGGAATTTTATATTCTCCATCAACTCATCCTCCCACAGTTATCACTTTTTGTATCACTTGCAACCCCCCCTTTTAGTCCTCATGCACACGGGACGTTTTTACAGCGGCTGTTTTTGGCTTTTGATGTTTTTTTCTACAGCCAGCATGTTATCCTATGTGTCCATACACACTGTAATCAACTTTTTTTTTGTCTGGAAATAACCTCTAGCAACCCACTAGTTCTGGGGAGTGTTTTAGTTGTAAAAACGCTCTAACGCTGAAAAACGACACAATCCGACGTTTTTTTGACCAAAAACAATTTTTTTTCTTGTCAAAAAAAAAAAAAAACCTAAAAACCGCAAACATGGCAAAACGCTGCTAAATGCTAATGCAAAAACGCTAAAAAACCCCTCACGTGACTTTACACAGCTAACATTACCATCGTTATCAAAATGTCCCGTGTGCACGAGGGCTCAGGATTCTAAGCTATCATAAGCTGAGTCCTCCTAATCTTGGTCATGAATTGTACTGTAACTTTACTTTCTTCCTTTATATTTTAACCACTCCAATACATGGATCATCAGTGCCGCCTCATCAGTGCTGCCTATCAGTGCCTCCTCGTCACTGCTGCCTATCAGTGCCTCCTCGTCACTGCTGCCTATCAGTGCCTCCTCATCACTGCCTCCTCATCAGTGCTGCCTATCAGTGCCTCCTCGTCACTGCTGCCTATCAGTGCCTCCTCGTCATTGCCTCCTCATCAGTCCTGCCTATCATCAGTGCCTCCTCCTCACTGCTGCCTATCAGTGCCTCCTCGTCATGCTGCCTATCAGTGCCTCATCAGTGCTCTATCAGTGCCTCCTCGTCACTGCTGCCTATCAGTGCCTCCTCGTCACTGCCTCCTCATCAGTGCTGCCTATCAGTGCCTCCTCATCACTGCAGCCTATTAGTCGCCTCCTCGTCACTGCCGCTTATCAGTGCCTCCTCGTCACTGCTGCCTATCAGTGCCTCCTCGTCACTGCTGCCTATCAGTGCCTCCTCGTCACTGCCTCCTCATCAGTGCTGCCTATCAGTGCCTCCTCGTCACTGCTGCCTATCAGTGCCTCCTCGTCACTGCCTCCTCATCAGTGCTGCTTATCAGTGCCTCCTCGTCACTGCAGCCTATTAGTGCCTCCTCGTCACTGCCGCTTATCAGTGCCTCATCAGTGCTGCCTATCAGTGCCTCCTCGTCACTGCAGCCTATTAGTGCGCTATCCTCATCATGCCTATCAGTGCCTCCTGTCACTGCAGCCTATTAGTGCCTCCTAATCACTGCCACTTATCAGTGCCTCCTCATCAGTGCTGCCTATCAGTGCCTCCTCGTCACTGCCTCCTCATCGGTGCTGACTATCAGTGTCTCCTCGTCGCTGCCGCCTATTAATGCCTCCTCATCACTGCCGCCTATCAGTGCTTCCTCGTCACTGCCTCATCAGTGCTGACTATCAGTGTCTCCTCCTCACTGCCGCCTATTAGTGCCTCCTCATCAGTGCTGACTATCAGTGTCTCCTTGTCACTGCTGCCTATCAGTGCTTCCTCGTCACTGCCTCCTCATCAGTGTAGCCTAATCAGCGCACATCAATGAAGGAGAAAAATTACTTATTTGCAAAATTTTATAACAAACTAAAAAAAAAAGGTGTTCAATTTTTTTTCAAAAGCCCTTTTTCATTTGTTTAGCAAATAATATTACCCAGTGATAATTAAATATCAAACAAAGAGAGCTCTATTTGTGTGAAAAAAAAAAGATATAAATTGTCATTCAAAAGTGTGACAGCGCTGGAAGCTGAAAATTGGCCTGGGTAGGAATGGGGTGAAAGTGCCCGGTACTGAAGTTGTTAGAGTACTCTGCAAACTGGTGGCCCTATATAAATACCATATAACTATAATACTACAAAACTCCCATTTTTTTTTCAGCAGAGTCCCTAGGCAAGAAAACGGTGGGTATTATAATATTCTATGACATGCAGTATTTGCACAGCGTTTTTACAATCACAATTTTTTGGAGAAGGAAATACACTGAATTTTAATACACAAAAACACAATATAATACACAAGTGTTTGATACAATATAAAAGATTATGTTGCGTCAAGTAAATAGATACCAAACATGCCATACTTTAAAACTGCGCACTCCCGTGACAAACAACGTAAATGTTGTTACCCATAGGCAAGGCTTTAAAAGCCTTTACAGGTTACCACTTTAGATTTACAGAGGTCTGGTGCTAGAATTACTGCCATTGATCATGATGTTCGCAGTGATAAATGTGTAAGACAATCGCTGTTTACATTCGCCTTTGCGTGCAAGCACAGAGGGACAGGGGCATTTTACTTTTTATTTCATTTTATTTATTTTTATACTGTCGCTTTAATATTTTTTTTTTAGCACTTTTATTGTTATCACAGAAAATATAAATATCTCCTGTGATAGCAATAGGCAGCGACAGGTACTCTTTATGGAGAAATCTGGGGTCTATTAGACCCCAGATGTCTCCTCTGCCCTTAAAAGCATGTGTTCACACTAAGATCGCTGTGATCAGATAAGTTCCAAAATGGCGTGGTTTACATCCGGTGAAACCAGAAGCGATGAATGCTCATTGCTTCTGGTTTTCTATACCAAAGAGGTGATCGGAGCCACTCTGATCACCTTTATGGTCATGCGGAAAAAAAGCACCGCCTGGACGCTCTGGTCTCCGATTACTTCTATGGTCAGCCGGCAAAAGCACCAGCTGGACGCTCTGGTCTCCGATTACCTCTATGGTCAGCTGACAAAAGCACCGGCTGGACGCTCTGGTCTCCGATTACCTCTATGGTCAGCTGACAAAAGCACCGGCTGGACGCTCTGGTCTCCGATTACCTCTATGGTCAGCCGGCAAAAGCACCAGCAGGACACTCTGGTCTCCGATTACCTCTATGGTCAGCCGGCAAAAGCACCAGCTGGACACTCTGGTCTCCGATTACCTCTACGGTAAGCTGGCAAAAGCACCAGCTGGACACCCTGGTCTCCGATTTATTTCTATGGTCAGCCGGAAAAAAGCACCGGCTGAACACTCTGGTCTCTGGCTACCGCTACGGTCAGCCGGAAAAAGCACCAGCTGGACACTCTGGTCGCTGTGATCAAAGAAGTTTCAAAATTTAAAAATGGCGCGGTTTAAATCCAAAGAAACCGGAAGCGATGACTGCTCTTTGCTTTCGGTTTCCTATACCATAGAGATGATCGGAGCCGCTCTGATCTCTGATTACCTCTATGGTCATCCGGCAAAAGCACCAGCTGGACGCTCTGGTCTCTGATTACCTCTCTGGTCAGCCGACAACAGCACCGGCTCGACACTCTGGTCTCCGATTACCTCTATGGTCAGCCAGCAAAAGCACCATCTGTACGCTCTGGTCTCCGATTAATTCTATGGTCAGCCGGAAAAAAAGCACTGGCTGGACACTCTGGTCTCTGATTACCTCTATGGTCAGCCGGCAAAAGCACCGGCTGGACGCTCTGATCTCATTTGATTACCTCTATGGTCAGCCGGCAAAAGCACCTGCTGGACGCTCTGGTCTCCGATTACCTCTACGATCAGCTGGCAAAAGCACCTGCTGGACGCTCTGGTCTCCGATTACCTCTATGGTCAGCCGGCAAAAGCACCTGCTGGACGCTCTGGTCTCCAATTACCTCTACGATCAGCTGGCAAAAGCACCAGCTGGACGCTCTGGTCTCCGATTACCTCTACGATCAGCTGGCAAAAGCACCGGCTGGACGCTCTGGTCTCCCGTTGGGTCAGGAGAGCCGAGAGAGCCGTGGAAGGAGACGGGAGGGGGGCGTAAAAGCAATCCAGCGGCCAATTAGCTAGGCCATGAGCTTACACATGGTTTAAACTCAGAGCTTTGGCAGGGGAATGGAGGAGTGCAGCAAAACTGAACAACGAAGGGCTGGGGGAGGGGAGCTTTCAAGAGAATCTGTCATTTTTTCGCCAAATGTATGTAAAGTGGCCAATTGTGTGTGATGAGTAAAGTGAACGATTCCTTTTAATAAAAAGCTGACAGATAAAACCATACTTGTATCCTTGAACATGACACCATCTTCACCAGGACTGGTACAGGAAAGAACTTACTCGTGTTTCATGATATTCAGGGAAGGGACATTCTGGTCCGGGAAAGAGAAGTTGAGCCGTGCGCAAATATCCTTATAATCTTGATTGCGTCTCTCAAAGTCTTCCACGTGTGCCGCCAAGTGAGAGTTCACAAAACAGAAGGATGTATTGTGGAAGATGAACCTGACGGATACGCCTCCTTTGTTGCCCTACAGAGGGAGAACGAGGCACACATTTTAAAGAGACATATGGCTGGGGGTGTATTACAGAAGTAACTACATTTAAAAATGAATACTAACTTACTCTCCAATCGTTCCTTCTGTTCTTTTTTTGCCATTTCCTTGAGGAAGGGTGACAACACTCCCCAAAGAGCAACATGAGCCGCACCGTTGTCACTGTAGGATGTGCACTCTCTATAGAATACATGTTGACCCTGCATTGTATCCGCTCTCCCCGGACCCTGCATTCACTATATCCGCTCTCCCCGGACCCTGCATTCACTATATCCGCTCTCCCCGGACCCTGCACTCACTATATCCGGACTCCCAGGATAATGATTTGGTCTCCCCGCACCCTGCATTCACTATATCCGCTCTCCCCGGACCCTGCATTCACTATATCCGCTCTCCCCGGACCCTGCATTCACTATATCCGCTCTCCCCGGACCCTGCATTCACTATATCCGGTCTCCCCTGACCCTGCATTCACTATATCCGCTCTCCCCGGACCCTGCATTCACTATATCCGCTCTCCCCGGACCCTGCATTCACTATATCCGCTCTCCCCGGACCCTGCATTCACTATATCCGCTCTCCCCGGACCCTGCATTCACTATATCCGCTCTCCCGGACCCTGCATTCACTATATCCGGACTCCCAGGATCCTGATTTCACTATTCGCTCGCTCTCCCCGCACCCTGCATTCACTATATCCGCTCTCCCCCGGACCCTGCATTCACTATATCCGCTCTCCCCGGACCCTGCATTCACTATATCCGCTCTCCCCGGACCCCTGCATTCACTATATCCGCTCTCGCCCGGACCCTGCATTCACTATATCCGCTCTCCCCGGACCCTGCATTCACTATATCCGGTCTCCCAAGACCCTGATTCACTGTATTTGGTCTCCCTGGACCCTGCATTCACTATATCCGCTCTCCCCGGACCCTGCATTCACTATATCCGCTCTCCCCAGACCCTGCATTCACTATATCCGCTCTCCCCCGGACCCTGCATTCACTATATCTGGTCTCCCCGGGCCCCGCATTCACTATATCCGCTCTCCCCAGACCCTGCATTCACTCTATCCGGTCTCCCCGGACCCTGCATTCACTATATCCGCTCTCCCCGGACCCTGCATTCACTATATCCGCTCTCCCCGAACCCTGCATTCACTATATCCGCTCTCCCCGGACCCTGCATTCACTATATCCGCTCTCCCCGGACCCCGCATTCACTATATCCGCTCTCCCCGGACCCTGCATTCACTATATCCGCTCTCCCCAGACCCTGCATTCACTATATCCGCTCTCCCTGGACCCTGCATTCACTATATCCGCTCTCCCCGGACCCTGCATTCACTATATCCGCTGTCCCACAGTACACACAACATGGAAATGTAATTATTTTAGTAAATATAAACTGCTAAATACCTTTTCTCATCAGCAGTATAGCGCAGTCTTGTGACTTCTATCAGTGTCCAGCAGGGCACACATTAAAGCTTGCAGGAGGAGTTTTCTTTCTGCTCTAAGTGGATGCAGAACCCCTGACCTCTGTCTGGACAGTGCTGATTAACCAAGAGAAACGTGAAAAGAGATTCACAGAGGAGCGGTTACATTATGGATAGAATGCGATACTCAAAGTAATTCAAAAAATGATGCTTTATTACACAATACACATGTGGACATATAAGGTAAATACCTCAGTTCCCCATCACCTCAGAATGAGATAATACATCAAAATTGACCTAAAATCATTTAAAAACAGATGTCATGACCGGTCAAAATAAAGTGCTGCAAATATAGAGACAGTAAGTCTAATACATATGCAGCACTGACACAATGGTGACACCGCCATACAGGAGGCATTTCAAAAAATTATACCAAACATGGCATAACAACGATGCAATATATGGCTGATCTCAAGTGCCAGATAGTGGATATAGTAGCCCAATCAACCTTAACAGGTATATATAGAGAATATAGGTATACAGAGACAATCTGCCTCTACAACCACTAGCTGGGTAATAACCAGAACTACCTGTTCTACCTGTAGACTTACTGTCTCTATATTTGCAGCACTTTATTATTTTGACCAGTCATGCCATCTGTTTTTAAGTGATTTTAGGTCAGTTTTGATGTATTATCTCATTCCGAAGGTGATGTGAACTGAGGTATTTACCTTATACAGTTGCAAGAAAAAGTATGTGAACCCCTTGGGATTACGTGGAGTTTTGCATGAATTGGGCATAAAATGTGCTCTGAACGTCATCTAAGTCACAACACTAGAAGAACACAGTCTGCTGAACATAATACTACACAAACATTAGATGTTGCCATGGTTTAATTGCACATAACATGTAAACATACACAGTGCAGGGAGGAAAAAGTATGTGAACCTTTGGACTTAATAACTGGTTGACCCTCCTTTGGCAGCAATAACCTCAACCAGACGTTTCCTGTAGTTGCAGATCAGACCTGCACAACGATCTGGAGTCATTTTGGACCACTCCTCTTCACAAAACTGTTTCAGTGTAGCAATATTCTTGGGATGTCTGGTGTGAATCGCTCTCTTAAGGTCATGCCACAGCATTTCAATTGGGTTGAGGTCAGGACTCTGACTGGGCCACTCCAGAAGGCGTATTCTGTGCTGTTGCAGCCATTGTTTTGTTGAATGACTTGTTTGCTTTGGGTCATTGTCCTGTTGCATCACCCATCCTCTGCGGAGCTTCAGTTGGCGGACAGATGGTCGTACGTTTTCCTGCAAAATGTCTTGATAAACTCTGGAATTCATTTTCCCATCAATGACAAAAAATCCGTCCAGGCCCTGAGGCAGCAAAGCAGCCCCAAACCATGATGCTCCCTCCGCCATGTTTCACAGTGGGGATGAGGTTTTGATGTTGGTGTGCTGTGCCTTTTTTTCTCCACACATAGTGTTGTGTGTTCTTCCCAAACAACTCAATCTTGGTTTCATCTGTCCACAGTATATTTTGCCAGTAGTGCTGTGGAACATCCAGGTGCTCTTTTGCAAACTTCAAACGTGCTGCAATCTTCTTTTTGGATAGCAATGGCTTCCTCCGTGGTGTCCTCCCATGTACTCCATTCTTGTTTAATATTTTCCTTATTGTAGATGTGTCAACAAAAATGTTAGCATGTGCCAGAGATTTCTGTAGGTCTTTAGCTGACACTCTGGGATTCTTCTTTACCTCATGCAGCATTCTGCGCTGTGCTCTTGCAGTCATTTTTACAGGACGACCACACCTAGGGAGAGTAGCAACAGTGCTAAACTTTCTCCATTTGTAGACAGTCTGTCTTACCGTGGACACATGAACATCAAGGCTTTTGGAGATACTTTTGTAACCCTTTCCAGCTTCATGCAAGTCAACAATTCTTGATCGTAGGTCTTCTGAGAGCTCTTTTCTGCGAGGCATGGTTCACATCAGACAGTGCTTCTTGAAACCAGTAAACCCAAAACAGGTGTGTGTTTTTTAAGGGCAGGACAGCTGTCAGCAACACATCCAATATCATCACACTGATTGGAGTCAAGGTTGGCTCACTCCTGGCTCCAATTAGCTCTGGGAGAAGTCATTAAGCTAGGGCCTCACAGACTTTTTCCTCCCTGCTCTGTGAATGTTTACATGTTATGTGCAATTAAACCATGGCAACATCTAATGTTTGTGTAGTATTATGTTCAGCAGACTGTGTTCTTCTATTGTTGTGACTTAGATGACATTCAGAGCACATTTTATGCCCAATTCATGCAAAACTCCACGGAATCCCAAGGGGCTCACATACTTTTTCTTGCAACTGTATGTCCACATGTGTATTGTGTAATAAAGCATAAATATTATTATTTTACAGTATTTATATAGCGCCCAAAGGTTTGCTCAGCGCTGTACATTGTAGTGGGGGACAGTACAGTAACAAAACAATACACGTGGGGTTCGAGGGCCCTGCTCTTTCGAGCTTACAATCTAGGAGTGTAACAAAGCATCATTTTTTGAATTACTTTGAGTATCGCATTCTGTCCATAATGTAACCGCTTCTCTGTGAATCTCTTTTCATGTGTCTCTTGGTTGTACAGTGTTTTGGTTACTAGGCAGATAATGTACATCTAGCGATACATATTATTTTCAAAGCCCCTTATCTTTTCCATTTCTAACAGTGCAGATTAACCCTGTGCTGATCACATGCACTCTCCCAAGAAAAAAAAAAAAACAAAAAAACCTCTCTAGCAATACACACTAAATTGAGCATGTGCAGAGTGTCTCCACACCATATGTCTTATCAGGAGAGGGAGGGAGACACTGGAAGAAGGGGAGGATCAGAGAAGACAGGATCAAACAGCATTTTTAAACAATGCAGAGGATTAACCCCTTAGGCTCCACAGGGAGTATAACAAGCATGCTTTTCCGCATCTACAGACTGATTGTACTGTTGTGGGTTTAGGAACACTTTAAGAATGTATTTGAAGTGGCTTAATAGTTTGTATGTCTGCTCTGTAGCACTGGGGTTCTCAGTTTGAACTCCAGCCAGGACACTACAGGCAGGGAGTTTGCACGTTCTTCCTGTGCTTGTGTGAGTTTCCTCCAGTTCTTTTTCACACTGGGGGGGGGGGGGGGGGGGGGGGGGGGGGGGGGGGGGGGGGGGGGGGGGGGGGGGGGGGGGGGGGGGGGGGGGGGGGGGGGGGGGGGGGGGGGGGGGGGCCAAATGGTTGGTAGGTTTATTGGCCCTGTCTACACTGACCCTAGTATGTGTGTATATTTATGTATGTGAAATAGGGACCTTAGATTGTAAGTATGTAAAGTATGCTCCAGTCTCCTCCTGCCCAGCAGTAAGGCTTCATGTACGCTGCAGCTGATAAACGGACGTTCAGGAGTTTTTCTGCGTTTTTTCCAGCAGCCCCTGAACTCTCCCTAATGTTTTCCTATGTGTCCGTGTACACAGAGTCATTTACAGGCAGTTGAGTTTACAGTCATTTTTTTTGAACGCACCAAACTTGCGAGATTTTATCAGCGTTTCAAATGCCAAAGGCTTGTAAACGTGGCTAACCGCGTTCATAAGCATTTGCGTTTTTTAACTGTTCCATGTCCAGAGCCTATTTTTATGATCAGAAATGCATGCAAAGCCTTTTCCATGTATTCAAATGGACCGGTACACCAGCGCAGTCAGTTCCAGGTTTTGCATGAAGGAAACAATGGTCGAACATGCTGCATTATGCTCATGATGGGATCCGTAGTAAATACAACCAGAAAAGACAGGTCATCTCAACACATACTGCTCTCTCTGCTTCTGCTCTCTCTATTTCTCTCAAAATGTCTGAAATAGTTAATTTTTTTTACTGTTTTTCAGTGCATTCTGGGCATTTTGAAAGGTCTCCTGTTGTTATCTTTAACCACTTGCCATCCGGCTGCTATATATAAACGGCCAGACGGTGGCAGTCCAGGGGTGGGTTGCCGTTCATAAACGGCGCCCGCAATTGTGGACTGTGCGCACTCCCTGGGAGCACGCAGCACTGCGATCCGGTGCCCGCTGTGTCCTCCAGACACAGTGGAATACCGGTCGTCGTAGGGGACCTCTGTGCGAGGTCCCGATCATGTGATCACTGATTGGCCAATCAGTGATCACATGCAGAGTAGTAAGCAAGATGTCACTTCTGACATCATTGCTTACTACGTGTGAAATCTGTGAATGATCACAGAGGTCACATGGTACAAGGCTATTCACAACAGCCTTGTACCATGTGACAAGCTGTGACCAATCACAGCTCACACAGTAGTTCTGAATGGCTGCAAGAATGCAGCCAGAGAGGAGGAGAAATGATTGCTTTTACAGCCTTTATGGGGGTAAAAGCAATCTGTGTAAAAAAAAAAAAATCTTCATCACCCCCCACAAGTAGTACAGTGTCACCATGTTGACACTTTACTGCTAGGGTGACAGTATGTAGAAAAAAAAATAATAATAATAATTTCAAAAAATAAAATAAAAATGTAAAAAAATTTTTTTTAAAAATGATCATTTTTGGTTATCAACTAATTTGGGTTATTTTTTTTACTAAAAATATAACTGAAAAAATTTTGGCCAAGGTTTATGATGAAATATTATTTATTTGCAAAATTTTCTAAGAAAAACACTTTTTTTCAAAATTTATGGACTTTTTCATGTATATAGCAAAAAAAAATAAAAATCCCAGTGGTGAATAAATACCACCAAAATAAAGCTTTATAGGTCTCAAAAAAAAATGCTAAAAAAAATCATATGGGTACAGTGTTGCATGACCGCGCAATTGTCATTCAAAGTGTGACAGTGCTGAAAGCTGAAAATTGGCCTGGACAGGAAGGGGGTGAAAGTGTCCGGGCTGGAAAGGGGGTGAAAGTGTCCGGACTGGAAAGGGGGGAAAGTGTCCGGACTGGAAGGGGGTGAAAGTGTCCGGACTGGAAGGGGGTAAAAGTGTCCGGACTGGAAGGGGGTGAAAGTGTCCGGACAGGAAGGGGGTAAAAGTGTCCGGACTGGAAGGGGGGGGAAAGTGTCCGGACTGGAAGGGGGGTAAAGTGTCCGGACAGGAAGGGGGGTAAAAGTGTCCGGACTGGAAGGGGGGGAAAGTGTCCGACTGGAAGGGGGGGGGTGAAAGTGTCCGGACTGGAAGGGGGTGAAAGTGTCCGGACTGGAAGGGGGTGAAAGTGTCCAGACTGGAAGGGGGTGAAAGTGTCCGGACTGGAGGGGGGGAAAGTGTCCGGACTGGAAGGGGGTGAAAGTGTCCGGACTGGAAGGGGGGGGGGGTAAAGTGTCCGGACTGGAAGGGGGGAAAGTGTCCGGACTGGAAGGGGGGGAAAGTGTCCGGACTGGAAGGGGGGTGTCCGGAAAAGTGTGTCCGGACTGGAAGGGGGGGAAAGTGTCCGGACTGGAAGGGGGTGAAAGTGTCCGGACTGGAAGGGGGGGAAAGTGTCCGGACTGGAAGGGGGGGAAAGTGTCCGGACTGGAAGGGGGTGAAAGTGTCTGGACTGGAAGGAGGGGGAAAGTGTCCGGACTGGAAGGGGGGAAAGTGTCCGGACTGGAAGAGGGGGAAAAGTGTCGGGACTGGAAGGGGGTAAAAGTGTCCGGACTGGAAGAGGGGGGAAAAGTGTCGGGACTGGAAGGGGGTGAAAGTGTCCGGACTGGAAGAGGGGGAAAAGTGTCGGGACTGGAAGGGGGTGAAAGTGTCTGGACAGGAAGGGGGGAAAAGTGTCGGGACTTGAAGTGGTTAAAAAAACACTTCTAAACCCAAACGCACATAAACGCGGTATGCAAATGCGGCTCCACAGACGTTTTTTAACCTACTTTTCCAGCAGTCAGTTTCCATGGTTCAGAAGAGTTTTCCAAACGCCCCGTGTACATGGAGCCATCCACATGAATGACGCAAAGCAATACCTTCACATATCTTTTGGGCAATCGATGGCTAAACCGATGCCACCTGCCGTTGATTATTTACCATTTTTCCCATAATCCCCGTGCCTATGGACTCTGCGGCAATCTCTTGAATGTGCTTGAAGTGTTCCTTCTTGGCGAACACCAGCATCATCATTCCCACAAGCCTGATCAGACGGATCTGAAAGACACAACCAGATATAAAGGTCAGCAAGGTGAAGAGTGGACAGTAAGACAACAGCATTGTGCAAACTAGTTATTAAAATCATAGATATCCGGGGCCCGACAGAGAGGTCTCCTCTACCGCCTTAGCCACCGCCTCCGATCCCCCTTTGGATTTCTGGAGCGGTCTTCAGCTTCACCCAAAACCAACTGTCCACCTGTGAGCCAATACAGTGAATTCTCTGCAAACACAACCCAAAAATATTCAATAAACATATATTAAATCAAAAAAAAAATATTTTCATAGTATAAAGGGATTGTATAAGCACAGTGGACATTTGTTTTTTTCACATTTTGTTTTGTTTTTATTTTCACTTTATTTATATTAGATTTTATTTTAGTTTATTTTTTACACGTAATCAATGTGTCTTTGATGATAATAATAGAGTATCTATATACTTCAGCTTCACCATTTTCTGCGTCAATGCTCTGGCTCTCCGGGTATTTTCCATCAACTCACAGAGTTGGAGAGTATTCGCCACAGGCGGGAACCTATTCGCCATAGCCTTCCCATTACGTATGCAGCAAAACTTTTTCCATTTTGGATAGAGTAAGGGAGTGTTCTAACCCCTATCGGATTTTTTTTTTTCCATCCATGTCCGACTGGAGAGATTACCTTTCACTTCCTGTCCTATAGCCAAAATAGGAAGTGAGGAAATCTCTGCAGGTGAAGGGAATCTATTGGTCACCAGAAGCAATTATCCATTGGAAAGACAGCATTTTGGGGACAACTCAAATTTGGATTTTTTTTACACTTTCACTTTTGATAACAGAAAACAGGACAGAGAAGGTGAATCTTCTTAAAGAGGGGGCATAGAAAGCAATAAAATCTCAACAAGGGTTCTAATCCATCTCCACTCCAAAACTAAAAACAGTTTTGCCTTTAGTTATTCTTTTACCCACCCCACTTTTATCCCCTTCCAGTCGGACACTTTTATCCCCTTCCAGTCCGGACACTTTTATCCCCTTCCAGTCGGGGACACTTTTATCCCCTTCCAGTCCGGACACTTTTATCCCCTTCCAGTCGGGACACTTTCCCCCCCTTCAGTCCGGACACTTTTATCCCCTTCCAGTCGGGACACTTTCCCCCCCTTCCAGTCCGGACACTTTTATCCCCTTCCTGACCAGGGCAATTTTCAGCTTTCAGCGCTATCACACTTTGAATGACAATTGCGTGGTCATGCAACACTGTACCCAAATTAATTTTTTACCATTTTTTTGATACAGATAAAGCTTTATTTTGGTGGTATTTATTCACCGCTGGGATTTTTTTTTTTTTTTTGCTATGTAAATGAAAAAGTCCAAAAATTTTGAAAAAAAAGTTTTTTTTTAATAAAATTTTGCAAATAAATAATATTTCTTCATACATCTTGGCGAAAATGTATTCCCTTATCTTTTTAGTAAAAAAAAAAAAATCCAAATTAGTTTATAACCAAAAATTATAATTTTTAAACATTTTTTTTTACATTTTTATTTTATTTTTTTATATTATTATTTTTTTTTTTACATACTGTCACCTAGCAGTACAGTGTCACCATGGTGACACTGTACTACTTGTGGGGGGTGATGAAAATTTTTTTTTTTTTTTTTTTTACACTGATTTCTTTTACACCCATATAGGATGTAAAAGCAATCATTTCTCTTTCTCTCTGTCTGCATTCTTGCACTCATTGAGAAGTACTGAGTGAGCTGTGATTGGTCACAGCTTGTCACATGGTACAAGGCTGTTGTGAATAGCCCTGTACCATGTGACCTCTGTAATCATTCACAGATTTCACACGTAGTAAGCAATGATGTCACAAGTGACATCTTGCTTACTACTTTGCATGTGATCACCGATTGGCCAATCAGTGATCACATGATCGGGACCTCGTACAGAGGTCCCGTCCGACGATCGGTGTTTCACTGTGTCCGGAGGACACAGCGGGCACCGGATCGCGGTGCTGCGCGCTCCCAGGGAGCGCACACAAGCAGGGTGCGGGGAGGCCATTTATAGACGGCCACCCGACCCTGCACTGCCACCGTCCGGCCGTTTATATGCAACGGCCGGTCAGGAAGTGGTTAAGAGATAGACAAATGAAACCAGCGCTCCAATCTTCATGCAAACCAAGGAATTGCCAAAATGCCAAACGAAGAGGTGTTGCCCTTCTGAGATCGGGAAATCTGACCACTGGTGAATAAAAAGCTCCGAGGAAGGGGGTTCAGCTCCCGAAACGCGTCAGCCTATCCGCATCATTAGACACAGTTGTTTTGTGACTGTCCTTGTGGATCACCTATACTGCCTATAATCACGTTGGTTTGTCAGTATACATCCTTTTTATTCAATAAATTACGTGGTGTACCACGGTAATGCACGATGAGAGTGTGCCCTTGTTTGTTTTTTATTAGTTATACTTTAGTAAGACACATTAACCACTTCCTGCCGTTTATCTACATGGGCCGGACGGGAGCACAGCCGTTCCCCCAGCATCCATTGCCTGTGCGATCCCCGGGAGCGTGCGGCACCACAAATGGTGCCCGCTGTGTCCTCTGCACACAGATCGCCGTACGGGATCTCTGTGCGAGGTCTCCTTTCATGCGATCACTGATCGGCCAATCAGTGATCACATGAATAGTAAGCAAAATGTCACTTCCTGACATCATTGCTTACTACGTGTGAAATCTGTGAATGATCACAGAGATCACATGGTACAGGGCTATTCACAACAGCCTTGTACCATGTGACAAGCTGTGACCAATCACAGCTCACACAGCATTTCTCAATGGCTGCAAGAATGCAGCTAGAGAGAAGGAGAAATCATTGCTTTTACATCCTTTATGGGTGTAAAAGCAATCCGTGTAAAAAAAAAATTTCATCACCCCCCACAAGTAGTACAGTGTCACCATGGTGACACTGTACTGCTAGGGTGACAGTATGTAAAAAAAAAAAAAAAATATATAAAAAAATGTAAAAAAAAATGTTTAAAAATTACAATTTTTGGTTATAAACTAATTTGGGTTATTTTTTTTTTTTTACTAAAGATATGACGGAATAAATTTTGGCAAAGATCACAGCTCACACAGTATTTCTCAATGGCTGCAAGAATGCAGCCAGAGAGAAGGAGAAATGATTGCTTTTACATCCTTTATGGGTGTAAAAGCAATCCGTGTAAGAAAATAAAATCTTCATCACCCCCCACAAGTAGTACAGTGTAACCATGGTGACGCTGTACTGCTAGGGTGACAGTATGTAAAAAAAAATAATAAAAAAAAAAATATAAAAAAATGTAAAAAAAAAATGTTTAAAAATTATAATTTTTGGTTATAAACTAATTTATAACGCAAAAAGTGGCCTGGTCAGGAAGGGGGGGGGGGAGTGAAATCCTCCGGAGGGCGAGGGGTTAACCTTCAGCAGCATCATACGGTGAATAAAGTAAGGGAAACAGCTGATTCTCTTTTTACCATAATTCTAGCTGCCGGATTGTAACATTGACAATGTGGCTTCACTACGTTCTAAAATTACGACCCCAAACAAGTAGGTAACAAGTGAAATCAGAACTCCTGATCTGCATGCTGGTTTCAGGGCGACGCTTCGAAATACCAAAGCCTGGGGGCTCAGTAAAGCAGAGAGGAAACCAGCCATTTTCAGAGGGAAGTCAGCCGTGACAGCCTACATTGATGGATTTCCTTTGAAAGAAATTCCAAAAATAGTACAGCGTTTATAATTATGGTGTCAGCTGCAGAAGACGACTACAAAATACTTCCCATTCCTGACATTTGTGACTTTGATCTTCGCTCTCATGAATACCGCACTGGCTGGAGAATGTTCGGCACCCGACACTTCTGGTTGTGTCAGATTCCATGCTGTGAGTGGTGTTTCCATACGCAGGCTGCTATTTCATTAGTGTGTCCTGGAGCCAGTGTGTAGAAGCACAGCACACAGCAGGGGATGCGTGCCTCAACACTGCTATACACAGGTTGAAGTTCAGCAGGAACCAGACAAATTTCGATCCATGTATGGGCAAGGCTGGCAGAGCGGAGAGCCAGAGGCTGACAGTTACCGCTCTCTGTCTTCAATACAGCCCTAGCACTTAACCAGGGGTGGACAAGTCATGGGGCCCCTGGGCAACAAGGGATCATGGGGCCCGTGTCCTCACCCACACCCAAAAAAACCTATGGAAGGTACCAGAGGCATCTCATGGGGCCCCCTACTGACTCGGGCCCCCAGGCAGTGCCCGAGTTCCCAAATGGTAAGTCCGCCCCTGCACTTAACATACCGAAATGCATTACAAGCGTTCTTTTTGGGGTTTTTTTTGCCAAAATGCTGGTGCCAGGAGGAAAGGAGTCTAGGAGAGATGGCCAAACATCCAAAGCGCATGAGGATCTAAAGAGATTCTAAATGTTCCTTTTTTTTTTTAAATTACAAACATGTCTATACTTACCTGCTGTGTGTAATGGTTTTGCACAGAGCAGCCCGGATTCTCTTCATCTCGGGTCCCCCCGCTGGCTCTCCTGGCCCCTCGCTCCTGTTGGGTGCCCCCACAGCAAGCAACTTGCTATGGGGACGTCCACTGCTCCATGTGTCCATTCACACAGCTGACTGGCTGTGATTGACAGCAGAACAGAACTAAGTGCACTCCTGTGACCCACGGGAGAAGTAGGACAAAAGACCATTGACCCTACTTCTATTTTAAAGCGAAGGTTTTTTTTGGGGGGGTGGGGAGGGTTGAATAACAAGCATGTTATACTTACCTGCCGTGTGCAGTGGTTTTGCACAGAGCAGCCTGGATCCTCCTCTTTTTGGGTTCCCCCGCTGGCTCTCCTGGCCCCTCGCTCCTGTCGGCTGACCCCACAGCAAATAGCTTGCTATGGGGGCACCCTCTGCTCCGTATGTCCATTCATACACGGAGCTGTATCTCAGCCCTGCCCCCTCTCTCATTGGCTGACTGGGTGTGCTTGACAGCAGCAGGAGCCAATGGC